CCACCTATCCCCTCCTCCCACCTCAAGCCGCACCTCCATCTCCTACCTACTAACCTCATCCTGCCCCCTTGACCTGTCCGTCCTCCCTGGACTGACCTATCCCCTCCCTAACTCCCCACCTACACTCACCTTTACTGGCCCCATCCCCGCCTCTTCGACCTGTTTTCCTCTCCACCTATCCTCTCCTCTATACATCTTCTATCCGCCTCCCACTCTCTCCCTATTTATTTCAGAACCCCCTTCCCCTCCCCCTTTTCTGATGAAGGGTCTAGGCCCGAAACATCAGCCTCTCTGCTCCTATGATGCTGCTTGGCCTGCTGTGTTCATCCAGCCCTGCACCTTGTTGTCTCGGATTCTCCAGCATCTGCAGTTCCTACTATCTCATCTTCCTCAATCCTTCTTAGATTAGCTTTAAGTGCTGTATTACAGAAGTCTGTTGCCCTGTATTTATTTGTTGTTATGAGTGTAATTTATTTCTTTTTAAGCATAGTTACCACTCATTACTTTTAAAATACTCTGAGTACTCCATGACAATAAAATTTTAGCCTTTTAATGTGATGGAACATAGTTCAATTACACTTTGTAAATGTTCATGGCAAGATAAAATTGAAACATTTTTCATCCTGAGTTATATTGATTTTAATCTTGTTTGGAGAGGGCAGCAAGCATAATTCTTTCTGAAGTTCGTGGATACAGTTTAAGGACCAGCAACACAGATAGAAAATTAACTGCTAGACAGGAAACGAAGTACTTTGCTCCTGGGGGATAATAAGAACTGCAGATGCTGGAGTCAGAAATAAGTGTTGAGCTGGAGGAACACAGCAGGCCAGGCAGCATCAGAGAAGCAGGTAAATTGACGTTTTGGTTCAGGACCCTTCTTGAAATGGGGAGGGGGAAGGGAGCTCTGAAATAAACAGAGAGAGGAGGGGTGGGGCTGGGGAAGGTGAATGGAATGGTGATAGGTGAGTGCAGGTAGGGAGTGGTGGGGATTGGTCAGTGAGGTGGATAGGTGGGAAAAAAAGATGGACAGGTTGTTTCAGGTCAAGGAGGTGGGGATGAGGGGGAGGGTTGGTCATGGGATGAGGCTGGAGGGGTGGAAAGATTTTGAAACTGTGCTCCTGTTCAAATTAGATTTTGAAGGATTGTATTTGAAGAATGCAATCTCTACGTAGCCAAACTCTCCCTGTTCATTGTCAAATTTTGGTGAAGACTGCAAAAGATTAGGTGGACAGGTTTAAGACCCCATTTAAAGGGGATTCTTCATTCTAAATGCAAAGACAATAAACAGAATTAATTGTACACGCTTTAGTTTAAATGTATTCATGCTTGTCCCCACATTTTTTTTATCATCGGTTCTGTTGCTATTGTAGAGTATCATTTAAAGTTTATTTGGATACAAAAATGCAACCAGGCCAAAAAATATTGGAAAGTACTGTTGTTGCTGTCAGGTTCATTTCATTTAGCATTTATGATATCTAAATTAATATTTTTATTATAGATGTTTATAGATTTCTATGGATGTTTATGTTTTTAGCAATGAGGTGACTTCAGGTCAGTAATCCCAGTAGCACCCTATGGAATTGGTAGCCACAGCTGGTAGTACTTGGGCGGGCGGGTGCCTCTGATGGGCCAAGCAAGAAAACTCCTACTGTCCAATAGTAACCCACACAACTAAAGCTGTAAGTGAAAGCATAGCACTTCAAGTGGGCTCTTAAGCATCTGAATAGGTCCAAGGGTAGGCAGGCTGTGCAATGCCTCCCTACCACCTTCAAAGCCACTCACGGAATACCATAAAATACAGCTCTTGGTAGCAGGAAACACTGAAAACCTTAAATGTTATCAAAATTTGATTGAGGAAAGAAATGCATTGACAATATTACAATGTTTTTATTTGATTACACATGTCATAGAAAAAGGTCACAATGCAATCATATAATTAAGGAAGATATGGATTAATTCTAGCTACTATGGGAGTGTAAGCTAATGGGGAAAATAAAGTTTTTCATATGCAGATGGGGAATACTGGCCTTTTTTAAAAGTTCATATCCAAAGGGAAAATGAGACAGATCAACAAAAGTATCGTCAAAGTATCACTAAAGAAAAAAAAAGAGTGGTACGCTGAGGTGTAGGGAGGGAAGAAGAGCATAGTCTAGGAGCAAATTACTGCAGATGCTGGAGTCTGTACTGAAAACAACAAATGCTGAAGATCACAGCGGGTCAGACAGCATCTACGGAAAGAGAGCAAATTAACGTTGATGACTCTTCCACCATTTGGACTCAAAACGTTAGCTTGCTATCTCTCCATGGATGCTGTCTGACCTGCTGTGATCTCCAGCATGTTTTTTTTCAGTCAAAAAGAGCATAGTCGCTTGATATCTGACGGCATGACCATCACTGTGAAAGGATTAAAAATTGGGGATGCTGAAAAAGGTTAGTTTTAGAGGAGTGCAGCAGAAGATTATACAGAGATAGAGACAGGCAAAGCCATGGAAGGATTTATATGGTCCAGGCAGCAGAGGTTTGGATGACTGAGCTTAAAGAGCGTATACAGCCTGAGATAGGATTGCGTTGGTATAGTCACGGTTGGAGATAACAAAAACATGGATGAGGCTTTTTGTACCAGATGAAAAGGGGCAATATCATGCATAAAGTCATGGTGATCCATGAATTAATGAACAGGAATTAATATATATTATACTAAGAATTGAACAAACATGGCCAGTATTGCTACAATTATGTGGAGATGCTGGTGTTGGACTGGGGTGGACAAAGTCAAAAGTCTCACGACACCGGGGATTATAGTCCAACAGGTTTATTTAAAATCATAAGCTTTGTAAGCACTGCCCCTTCATCAGGTGAAGAAATAAACCTGTTGGACTATAACCTGGTGTTGTGTGACTTTGGACTATTGCTACAGTGCTTTTGAAAGAAAAGTAAGAAGAAAAATAAAAATAAAATGTTCTGATGCTTCCCCCACTGAATGTAAAAGCTAAATACATTTTGGCCAGATCAGAGAGGGAGCCTTCTGGCTGAAAACAGATTAACTACTTTCAAGCACTGAAGTGAAAAAAAAGTGTAATTTAGCACTATCCTCTGGACCTGCATGGGACATAATGCCAGGTCTTCGGAAAGACCCACATAGTCTAGTATGCTTACAAAGCAAAAACCTTTTAGTTTAAACAGAGGTACTGCTTTTTGCTTTTAAAAAAAGAACATTTTCTAGTGCAGGCAGTCCCCAGTGGTGAACAAGTTCCACTCTTGAGCTCGTTTGCAAGTCGATTCGTATGCAAGTTGGAACACAATGCAGCACAATATAAAATAGTTGTTCATAAGCACAGGAAATGTTCTTGTGTTGGATCTTTAAGATTACAACACTCAATGGAATCGCATTCCTAAGTCAGGGACCCTATAATTTAATTAACTTTAAATGACCATTAATTTGAAACATTATTCAGAAACTGAAATCTGATCAACATGCACACTAAACATACCACCACAGCAGATAGCTGCTCCTGCCATCAGTTTTCAATGATTTTTGTTGGTCCCAAACCATAGAAATGATGTAAACTAATATGATCCAAATTCCAATTTGACTTCCAGTGCATGTTCGCTTTTAAGTGTTACCAGTCACTACAGTAAATCATGATTTAGCAGTGACTTTATGTATTTCTGTTGGCCAGTTCACCTGAATATGATATGGACTCAGCTCTTCAGGACTGACATAGTCTGGTGCTTTACTCATAAGATCACGGCCTCTGAAGGACTTTGGAAAAGCAATGACATCCCTGATACTTGATGCTCCAATTATGAGAGCTATCAGTCTGTCCAAACCTAAAATGAAACAGATTAGACATTAAAATTAAACATTGAAATACATATACTCTAATATCCAGAATGAATGATAAACATAAAGTTCAATATTTGATTTTCCAAAATAAGAAGCCTCAGTCCCAAGTGACAGCTGTGTGTAAACACTAATACAATGCTGGCTCATTAGGAAAGAAAATGGGGAAAACAATGACTTTACGCTATTTTTGGTTTTAACATAGAAACTTCCTTATTCCATATTTCCTTTGAGCATGGACTGGAGTTTCTCCATGACTCTCATCCAACAGCAACAGTTTACACAGAAACCGTGTAGTAAGCTCTTAAATTTGCCCAGGAAAACGCTGAGAATGAAGAAAAGTCAGGCTATCTCTGACCCATAATTTTCACACAGTCACAATTAGCCCCAATCAACAAAGTTCCAAATTATTCCTGTCTCAAGTTCTTTGATGCTGGCTTGTAGGCGAGAGTGACAAAAAACAAACCAATTTGAAACTCACCCAATGCAATCCCACCATGCGGTGGTGCTCCAGAATCTAGTGCCTCAAGTAGATGTGATAACAACCCACTGTCTTCCTGTGACATACAAATAAATAAATTAATAAATACGGATTTTTTAAAAATTCAAATCTATTCAAATTAGATTGTTGTGTGATCTGAACCCCTGGTAGGCAGTGCTAAGTTTACAAAGCGATGCAATACTTCTTTCCAACCAGGGTTGTCCAACTAGGACCTGGCATGTGATCATGTAACTCTTGTTTCTAGTTGGCAAATATTGTTTCAGTTAAGTCATGAAAGGTTGGGTCGGGAGTACCTTTGCTTGCAGTTTCACACCAGCAGTTTGTTGGGTGAAAAGGACTGAGAAACAAGGAGGGCACCTGCAAGCAGGTAAAAACCATACGCAGGTGTGTTTATTTATCAACTAATAAATAAAAGTCAGCACATGTTTGTTGAAGGAAAATCACTGAATAATTTGATCAAGTTCTTTTATGGTAATAATGAACGTAATACAGATGATGTTATGCTTCTGAACTTAACACATTTGACAATGTTCATGTAATAACCCCTTACCAAAATTAAAGTCTATCTGATGGAAGAGACAACAGCCAATTTTGTATGAAATCATAGAATCCCTACTATTCGACCCATCAGGTCTGCACCGACCTTCTAAAGAACATTCCACCCAGATCCACACCCCTAACCCCACCCTATCCCTGTAACCCTGCATTAACCATGGCTAATCCACCTATCTTACATATCCCTGGACACTATGGGACAATTTTTAAAAGTATGGCCAATCCACCTCACCCGCACATCTTTGGGCTTTGGGAAGAAACCAGAGCACCTGGCAGAAACCCATGCAGACGCTGGGAGAATGTTCAAATTCCACACAGTCACCCAAGGCTGGAATTAAATCTGGGTCCCCGGCACTGTGAGGTAGCAGTGTTAACCACTGTGCTACCGTGTTGCCCCAAAGAGTATAGAAACACCCAAGAGATTTTAAAAAATGTAGTCATGAAGGGTTTTTAATTATTGCTGAAAAAGAGGAAAACATAGCAAATAGAAGCAGCAGCAGGGCATGTGGCTCTGTGAGCCTGCTCTACCATTCATTATGTTCATGACTGATTGTCCAACTCAAATCCTGTTACTGCATTTCCCCCATATTTTTTGATCCCTTTAGCCCCAAGTGCTATATCCAACTCCTCCTTGTTTTGGCCTTGATTGCTTTCTGTAGTAGTGAATTTCACAGGTTCACCACTCCCTGTGTGAAGAAATTTCTCATCATCTCAGTTCTAAATAGTATACCTTGTATCCTTAGACTGTGACCCCTTGTTCTGAACTCTCCCGCCATCTAGAACATCCTGCACCTACCCTGTCTAGTCCTGTCAGAATTTTGTAGGCATCTATGAATTCACCCTCATTTTTCTGAACTCCAGTGAATATAATCCTAACTGATTCAATGTCTCATCATTTATTAATCTGGTAAACCTTTGCTGCATTCCCTTTTACAGCAAGAACATCCTTCCTCAGATAAAGAAGCCAAAACTGCACACAATACACTCAGTGTGGTCTCAACAAGACCCTTAACAATGGTAGCAAGACATCCCTAGTCCTGCACTTGAATCTTCTCGCTATGAAGGCCAACATACTATTTGCCTTCTTTACTGCCTGCTGCATCTGCATGCTTACCTTCAGTAAATGGTGTATGAAGACAGCAAGGTCTCACTATACATTCCCCTCTCTCAATTTATAGCCACAGATAATAATCTGACTTCCTGTTTGTGCTATCAAAGTGTATAACTCTATCTTTGCACCTTCTGTGCAGCTGTAAGACTGTATTCTGCACTATGTTCTGCTACCCTGATGCACTTTGTATGGTATTATCTGCCTGTATAGCATGCAAAACACCACTTTTCACTGTATCTCAGTATATGTGACAACAATAAATCAAACTCAAACCTCACATTTGCCCACGTTATATTGCAACTGCCATGCATTTGCCCACTCACTCAGCTTGTCCAAATCATACTGAAGCATTGCTGGATCCTTTTCAGAGTTCACACTTCTGACTAGTCACTGCTTGCCATTTGGAAAAAGACTTGTTTATTCCTAAATTTTGTTTTCTGTCTGCCAACCAGTTTTCTATCCATCTCAATACACTACCTCAACTCACATGTGCTTTAATTTTTCATGCTAATGTGTTATGTGGGACTTTTACAAAAGCTTTCTGAAAGTTCAAATAAATCACAAGAACTGGTTCCCCCTTCAACAGTTCTACATCCTTGAAGAATTTCAATAGATTCATCAAGCGTAATTTTCTCATTTGTAAATTTATGATTCTGTCCGATCCATCACTGTTTTTCAAGTGTTCTGTTATTAAATCTTTTATAACAGATTCTAACATTTTCCCCACTACTGATGTCAAGCTGACCAGTCTATATTTTCTCAGTTTTCATTTGATGTTCCTTTGTAAATTAGAGGGGTTACATCAGCTACCCTCCAATCTGTAGGAACTGTTCCACAATGTATAGAATCTTTGAAGATGACTGCCAATGCATCCCCTATGTCTAGGCCACTACTTAAGTACTCGGAAGATTTATTGGCCTTCAACCCAATTTCCCTAACATCATTTTCCTACTAATACTGATTTCCTTCAGTTCATCCCTTTCACTAAACCCTATGTTCCCTAACATTTCTGATATGTTATGTGTCTTCTTATGAACACAGAACCCAAGTATGTATTTAGATGGTCAGTCATTTTTGTTCCCAATGATTAAGTCCCCTGTTTCTGACTGTAAAGGATCTACATTTGTCTTCACCAATCTGTTTCTCTTCGCAAACCTATAGAAACTTTTACAGTCATTTTTTATGTTCCCCGCAGCATACTCTCGTAATCTTTCTTAATCAATCTCTTTGCCCTCTGTTGCTGAATTCTAAACTGATCCCATTCCTTAGGTCTTTTTTTTCTAGCTAATTTGTATGCCTCTTCCTTGGATCTAATACTAATCTCTAATTTTCCTTGTATGCCATTGTTTGGCCAACTTTCCCTAATTTATTTTTACACCAGACAGGAATGAACAATTATTACAATTTATCAATTTGCGTTTTGAATGCTTGCCATTGTCTTTTCACTATCATTCCTTCAAGTAATGCTTCCCATTGTTCATAGCCAACTCACGCCTCATGCCATTTGAATTCCTCTATTTAGAGTCAGAACCACGTACGTCACTCTCCATTCTTCTCCAAGAATTCTATCACATTATGGTTGCTCATCCCTAACAGGCCTCAGACCAACAGACTGCCAATTAGTCCTTTCTTAAAACGTAATACCAAGCGTAGGATGGCCTGTTCTCTAGTTGGTTCCTCAATGTATTGGTCCAGAAAACCATCTAGTGTACACTCCTGGAATTCATCTTCCATGATATTGTTACTGATTTGATTTGCCCAATCTATATGCAGATTAAAGTCACCCATAATTACATATGTTCCTTTATTGCATGCAACTCTAATTTCCTGTTTAATGTTTAGAGTTTGGGGGTCTATATACAACCTTGATATGTTCTTAGTCCTTTGATAAGTCTCAGCTCTACCCAAACAGACTTCACATCATAATATTGAATTAATGGTCTTAATTTTTAAACTTACTTCCTAACTCCCCACATTCTGCTTTTAGGATCTCACCCTTTTTTATAAAATACTTATTCTTCTAAAATGTACCATGATCACTAGCTGTCCAGCCTCCTCCCTTGAGAATGCCCTGTAGCTGCGCTGAGACATTCTTGACCCTAGAATAAGGGAGGCAATAAACCATCCTGGAGTCCCAGTTATAGCTACAGAAATGGCTGCCTGTTCACTTTACAATTGAATCCCCTATAACTATTGCATTCCCACACTTCTTACTTCTCTGTGCAGCAGAGACAATCGTGGTGCAACAATTTCAGCTGTTGCTGCTTTCCTGAAAGGCTATTCTCCTCAACAGCATCTAAAGTGGAAAATCTGTCTTGCAGAGGAATAGCACCAAGAGACTACTGCACTGCCTGCCAAGTCCTTTCCTCTATTTAATGGTTACCTATTTTCTTCTACCTGTGGAGTCTTAGCCTGTGGTGTGACCATCTCTCCATATGTGCTATTCACGATACTCTCTGCCTTGCATATGCTCCACAACTGAAGTTTGCACTCATCAAGACAAATAAAAGAATACTAAATTTCAAACAGTCAACTTTATAAACAATTTGTATTACAGGAGAAAAGGTTGTGGATTGGCTAAGACGACGCCATGGGAAAAGCAACAAGGATCATAGGCTCCCCAAGCTTCTGCATAATTTAAGCAAAGAATTGATTTTCAGATCGAAGGGTTATTTTTCAAACAGCATGGTAAAACACAGCAGTAAATAAAAACAAAGTGCTGGAAAAACTCAGCAGGTCTGGTGGCCTTTGTGGAGAGAGAGAGACAGAGCCCATTTCGAGTTCAGTAGGACTGTTCTTCGGAACTAAAAGGAGTTGGAAAATTATAACACTAGTGTAGTGAAGAATACAAAAGTGATCCCTAATGGTTGGTATAATGACCATTGTTTTGTTTTATTAATATATTAGTGACCTAGATTTAGACGTACAAGGCATAATTTCAATGTTTAAAAGTGAAACAAATGTAGGAAAGAATACAGGAACATATTAACAGACTGGCAATATGAGCCGACACAGCGGATGAAATTTAATTAGACAAGTATGAAGTGATTCATTTTAGAATTGTTGAATTTTAATTGTTGGTATATAGAGTCACAGAAGCCTACAGAACAAAAACTGGCCCTTCCGCCCAACTCGTCCCAATGATCACACACACACAGAAATCTTTGATATAGACTGTTGAAACAGCAAAAGATTTTTTTGAGTTTATAATTAGAGGCAGAGAATACAAAACCAAGAAAGTTATGTTAAACCTTTATAAAACACTGGTGAGGTTTCAGCTGGAGCAGTCTGTTGAATTCTAGGCACCACATTTTATCGAAAGTGTACTCCTGCAAGGTTTTCACAGACGAGATTCTCCAGAATGGTACTGGGAATGAGGGACTCCAGTCATGAATAGCGACTGGAGAAGTTGGGACTGTTAACATTAAAGTAGAAAAGGCTAACAGCAGGTTTTAAGTGTTGAAAATCATTATGTTGTACCATTCTATGACTCCACAGATGTCAAACGTGAATGCCAAGTGTAATCTTTACTCCCCCAAGCAGTGTTTCAGAAATTAATCTTCCACTTCTGAGAAGCTTGGGTTCAGCAAGGAACATAATCAGCCAGGGATCCTGTTCCTAATCTTTAACTGAAGCACTCTGCTCTTAAACTATTCATTAGAGATGTTTGTACATTCCTCCTTCTCAAATACTTACCTCATTTCCCTTTCAATAATATTAGTGTCTACCTTAACAGCTTCTTGTGGTGAATAAGTGTGAGGAGCTCATGAATGTTTGTCACCAAGGTCAAGTATATTTGCACAGGTGTTCCTCCCTTCCACTAACCAATCAGATCAAATTTTCCCTTCTCTAAAGATTCTCCATCAAACTGACATCTTCCTCTTGTCTCTCTCATGCTCCCCGCTCTCCTACTCAACCTCATTTTTCCATGAGATAACAACATAAGAAATAGAAGCATGAATAGACCATACTGCTCGAGCCTGTTTCACATTCATATGGTCACAGGTGATCATCAACCTTAGCTCTACTTTCCTACCCACTCTCCATATCGCTCGATTCCCGAGACACGAAAATCTGTCTATCTCGGTATTTTCAACAATGGAACATCCTCTGGGATAAAGAAAACTGTTTGAGTGAAAAAATTTCTCAACTCAATCCTAAACAACTGGTCCTTTATCCTGAGGCAATGCAACATATTATAGACTCCAGCCATTGGAAACAACCTCTTTGTCTACTCCTTTACCACATGCTTACTTGACCGTATCCAGACAAAACTGCTGACCACTTAACCTCACTTCCTGGTTCTCTTGTTAGCAGTTACTGTTATAGTTTTCTCTCTTAAGAAGTTATGCTTCTCTCATTTTAATCATCCTCACTGTCCTCAAAAACCAATGACAATACCAACATTTTGCATATCTCTGATGATGTCTTGAATGTGTTGTCACCTCCCAAAGCCATGCCCAGCTTTTTCAGAAATCCCACGTTTGCATCTTTCCAGTTGTGATTCCAACCGGCCACAGTACTGAAATGGCTCTCAACAAATGGCACCCGTGACTGTGACAAAGGTAAACTATTCCTTTTCGATCTTCTCATACTGTCTTCAGTCTCTGACAAGGATGACCACACCATCCTCCGCCAAAGCCTCTTTACTTTCTTCCAGCTGGATTGAGTTATAGAATCATACAGCATGGAAACAGAGCCTTCAGTCTAACATGTCCGCACTGACCAGAAATCTGAATCTGAACTAGTCCCATTTGCCAGCATGTGGCCCATAACCCTCTAAATCTGTCCTATTCATATACCCATCCAGATACCTTTTAAATGTTGTAATTGTACCCGCCTTCACCACTTCCTCTGGAGCACATTCCATACGTGCACCACCCTCTGTATGAAAAAGTTACCCTTAAGGCCCTTTTTAAATCTTTCCCCTCTCATCTTAAACCCGTGCCCTCTGGTTTTGGATAGCCCACCTGAGGAAAAAGACCTTGGCTATTCACCCTATCTCAACTCCTACACTCAATGTTCTGACCAATGAATGGACAGCTCTCGCTTGGTTGTATTTTTTTCCCCTTCCCAGAAGTGTTATCACACAAAACTGTGCGACCTTCCGACTACCAAAATGCCATGAATTTTCTTTTGCATTTTTTTAAAAACTGCTATCCACTACCAGTTCAATATTTACATGCAAATCCATTTTGTGGAATGCAAAATATCAAGTGAGGGGAGTGCATAGGGACAGTGGGAAGGGCCTGAATCAAAATGGAGTTAGCAGGGGAAATAAAGCACTGGTAACCCCAACAGTGCCCATCTCTCTCTAAAGGCGAGAGCACTGATGGTCACCACGTGCACTTTCTCCATTGACCTCCGGTGGTTACATTCCTAATTGTCCAATCATAGTCAGAGTAGCGGCATGGCTTTCTTTCTCAACAATACGTTAACAATATCCAATTCTGCCTTACCACCAAACCCCCAGGCTTTTCCACTGTTGCTTAATTGTCAGACCACTTATTTGACATCTAATTTTGGATGAGCAGATATTTCTTTCAGTTAAATATTGCAAAGTATGAAGCCATTGTCTTCTGTCTCCATTTTAAACTCCATTCCCTAGTCACCATTTCCATTACTCTTCCTAGCAACTATCGGAGATTAAACCAGACTGTTTGCAACCTCAATATTATATTTGGCCCAGAGATCAGCTACTGACTATATATCTGCGCGATCACTAAGACTACATATTTACACTGCGATAATATTATCTAATTTCATCTGCTATTTCAATCTGCATCCATGGTTTTGTTACCTCTCACATTTGACTATCCCACACACTCTTGGCTAGTCTCCCTTGATGCCATCTAAAACTCTTTTGCATGAGTAAGAACATGAACAATACTTTGAGACATCTTGATTATAAAATTCACACCCGTTTTCTCAAAACCCTCTATACCTCTGAAATTTCTGCAAGCCCCACACAGCTCTCGAGACATCTGTGTTGAACTAATTCTGGCCCCTTGAGCACCCCTAATTTCATTTGCTCCTCCATTGATGGTCGTGTTTTCAGTTACCTAGGCCCTAATATCTGGTTTCCTCCAGCTCTCCTGTTGACTTCCTAGTTTCCTTTCATAGATATTCCTTAAAAATCTTCTTCTTTGACCAAGGACTTTTTAAACTAACATCTCCTCATGTGACTGTCTTGTTTTATAATGCTCTTGTTAAGCATCTTTGGATGTTTTATTAAAGGCACTTCATAAAGAAAAGTAGGCTTGATTGTGTGGTGAAACACCCACAGGATATTCAAGGACATTCTTCCTTCCTCCATCGGTTGGTTTCTGGAGGTCACCACTGACCACCAGAAATTATTTCATTACACTGACATTTATAAGTTGAAATGTGGCCCATCTACCTGCCCTGTCATTGGACATGTGGCTTGTAGTAGCAGCGAAATTCTATTTTGTTTCTAGCTATGCCTAAGAAATTCAAATTCAGAAACTTCATTTACATAATTTCAGGGTTTAGAAACTACCTGCATAATTTCTAACATTTCTTGCATTGTGAATCATATTCTTTTTGCAACTTCACTAAAATGTAAGTAAAAGAAGTTAAGCTATGTACCTTCAGTATTGTCTCCAGGACATAATTCTGCAACTCCATATTATGTATTCGAATGGAGCCTCCTCCTATTTCATTGCCATTTAATACCAAGTCATAATGTTGACTCCTCACCTAAAGAAAACTCACAGAAGTCCAAATAAGAAAAGATCCCTCTACAATGATCATCAGGTACTCATCCACTGTTCAGGGCACCTACAGACAATTTACATAAAACACAGGAACAGGCCATTTGGCCCAACCATGCCAGGAATTATGTTCTAACCCTCCTCCAATGCTTTTTTCACCAAACTAGAGCAAATTCGTTAGAGATCCCCACGCAACATTTATTCCTCAAATTGACGGTTTGGTGCAGACCCAATCTTGCAGATTGACTGAATGCGAGCAAGTTGAACGAGACCTATCCCAGTCCTGATTTTTTTCACAAACTGTGAAGGCCTTGGGTTCTCACAACAATACAGGCACCAAAAATTACCAACTTAGCCTTGTGAAATCATGAGCTGAAATGGATATTTAAGAGAACCTGTATTCATCTTGATAATGCATTTTTTAAATTACTAAAACACTGTCTATTAAAAAATTAACTCAAAATATTAGTGGTGAAGATTGTACAGTTCAGTGGAAGATTCTGTCTTTGTATCTTACCTTGTTAGGCTCTGTGTAGATGAGATGGATATCATCTGGATGCGGGGCTGTAAAGGGGTGGTGAGCTGATTCAAACTCTTCAGGGCTGTTTTCTTTTGGTAGAAACAGTGGGAAATCAATGATCCAGAGGAAATTGAATATACTTGGATCTCTGAGGGTGACACCCTTAGATTCCAGAATATCTGCACACTCCAGCCGCAATTTCCCTAATGCAACATTCTGTGACCGATTTAAAAAAAATGCATGACTAACAGTGACTGGTAAGTTTGTTCCTATAAAATCAATCACTGCACAAGACGTAGAGGCATAAAAAAAAAAATCAATCAGCCTGAAACTGATTATATTAGAAGCATAGGTGAGAAGCTGATACCTCACATATGGATATTGGAAGCTCAAAAAGGTGTTACCAATAGAATTATAAACTACTGTAGTGATATTGCTTCTTCCAGATACCTATCCAAAGAGTCACAACTTAACAATTTCTTACCAAATGAACCAAAGTAAAAAGCATGCTCTATATTAAGCTAATAACTAGCCAAAGTTAGTCATACTTGATTTATATTTAACTAATCTATGCTAGCATCCCTTGGTTTAAGCCATGCCTTTCTAAACAAGTATTTATGCTATTCCTAACAAAGGTTACCAATAACTTACATAAGTAAAATACTTACTGCCTTTGTCCGATCTCCTGCTGCAAGAATCAGCACATCACCTTTTTGGATATTTGTCATGTGACACAGTTGAGATTTCTCCATATCTGTAAGGAATTTGGAAACTGCAGATTTCCATGTGCCATCAGGTTGCAGCATAACAAACGTTAAGTCCTGTTGGCAGAGACCAATTAGTAAGGAATATCTTCAATTTCAATGGAGAATTACTGCTTTTTTTTCCAGTTAGGTTTCTCTTATGACAGCATGGCTGAGAGGAATGGATTATCAAATCTTTGGGGCTCTGCATTGTGAATGACATCCTGTAAGGATGGCAAAACAGGTGACTCGATAAACACATGAAGAATTTGGCTCTACTACACAGCAACACTAGATTCAAAGTTGGAACTCACTATATACGGAAGATCAGCAATCAACTCATTCAATCACTCTATGATGCAATAAGTTGGAGCTGCACCCTGTAAACCTCTAGACATATCTTTAGGTTCACCCACAGATGCTCACTATGCTTTATCCTCCTGTATATGTCATATGCAAACTTTGGATCAATTACTTTATGCCTATACTGAAATCATTTATATCGATTAAAAATGCCTCTCCATGCATCGATCAATATCCTCAATCTGCTTATTACTTTGTGGCCTTCTGTCCCTTAGTTATTCTAAAAACAACAGTTACATCTTTTATCATTTTTATTCTAAAAGTCTTCAAAATGGCGCTAGATTGTGGCAACTACTGAAGCTTTTCACTGTAAAATGTAAGTGACAATAAATAAATCAAAGATGTGGCTACATTCCGTTATGCAATGTGTTTTAGTTCTCTATTTGGTGCAGCATGGTCAAACACCTGAAAATCCATACATGCACATTGCACCAATACAAACAATGTAAACTAACTTTGCCTTGGTCACAATGCAAACTCCTCAAGAAAGGAGCTGTCTATAGGCAGAAATTCCATAAACATGTGCTCAAAATGAAGTCAGCAGTCATACTGAATGATGGGAAAGGCAAAGGTTAATTTTAAATTACAAAGACTCATACACACAAAACATTTACCAAAAGGTTGTTGACTTGCTTTCGTTCAGCCGTTTTGTCACCATGCGAGGTCACATCATCAGTGAGGCCTCCAATGAAGCGATGATGTTCTACTCCACTTGGAATTTATACTGTCTGGTCCGTTATGGTGAGTACTGTCGTTTGTGGTTTTGTTCTGTGGGGTCCAATTTTCTACATTTGTTGATTGCATTGTGGGTTGAGAACCATGCTTCTAGGAATTCCCATGTGTGTCTATTTTTCGCTGGGGCTACTATGGTTACGTTGTCCCTGTTAAACTGATGGGCTTCACTGTTCGAGTGTACTGATATTAAGGAAAGTTTGTCGTGTTGTTTTACTGCTAGCTGATGCTCATGTATTCTGATGACTAGTTTCCTTCCTGTCTGTCGGATGTCATGCTTGTGGCAGTCGTTGCATGGTATTTTGTAAACTACGTTGGTTCTGCATGTTGTAGGAATGGGGTCTTTAATCCTTGTGAGCGCTTGTCGTAAAGTGGCCGTAGGCTTGTGTGCTACCATGATTCCAAGTGGTCTTAGGAGTCTCGTTGTCAGTTCTGATATGCTCTTGATGTAGGGCAGTGTGGCCAGTGTGTTAGGGCGTACTGTGTCCTCTTGTTGTTGTCTATTTAGTAGGCTCCCGCAGATGAAGTTGCAGGGATATCGTTCATAGCGAAGACTTTTGTATAGGTGCTCTTCCTCTTTCCTGTGTAGTTCTGGCAGCGAGTAGTGGCCCATTTAAATAATGTCCTAATACAGCTTTGTTCGTGGACGTTGGGGTGGTTGCTGTGGAAGTTGAGAATTTGTTCAGTGTGGGTTGCTTTCCTGTACACTGAGGTTTGGAACATCCCGTTAGTCATAGGTTCAACTTTGACATCCAGAAACGGGAGCTGATCGTTGTTTCCTTTTCTCTCGTGAATTTAATCCTGGCAAATACATTGTTGATGGGATCACCCATCTCTGGACTCATCGCAGAGGCAGTCATGCAAAGATTAGAACACACTACCCTCCCCCACATTCAACCTAAACTGTGGATCTGGTACGTGGACGACACATTTGTCATTATTAAACGCACCAAACTAGAAGAGACCCACCACTTTATCAACCATGTATTCGCCGGGATTAAATTAAAGTGGTGGGTCTCTTCGAGTTTGGTGCATTTAATAATGACAAATGTGTCGTCCACGTACCGGATCCACAGTTTAGGTTGAATGTGGGGGAGAGTAGTGTGTTCTAGTCTTTGAAGACTGCCTCTGCGATGAGTCCAGAGATGGGTGACCCCATCAACAATGTATTTGCCGGGATTAAATTCACGAGAGAAAAGGAAACAATGATCAGCTCCCGTTTCTGGATGTCCAAGTTGACCGTATGACTAACGGGGAGTTCCAAACCTCAGTATACAGGAAAGCAACCCACACTGAACAAATCTCAATGTCCACAAAAAAAGTATTAGGACACTACTTAAATGGGCCACCACCCGCTGCCAGAACTACACAGGAAAGAGGAAGAGCACCTATACAAAAGTCTTCGCTATGAACAATATCCCCGCAACTTCATCTGCGGGAGCCTACTAAATAGACAACAACAAGAGGACACAGTACGCCCTACATCAAGAGCATATCAGAACTGACAACTAGACTCCTAAGACCACTTGGAATCATGGTTACACACAAGCCTACAGCCACTTTACGACAAACACTCAAGAATTAAAGACCCCATTCCCACAACAATAAGAACCAACGTAGTTTACAAAATACCATACAACGACTGCCACAAACATTACACCAGACAGACAGGAAGGAAATAGCCATCAGAATATATGAGCATCAGCGAGCGGCAAAACAACATGACGAACTTTCCTTAATTTCAATATACTCGGACAATGAAGGCCATCAGTTTAACTGGGACAACGTAACCATTGTAGCCCAAGTGAAAAATAAGACATGCACAGGAATTCCTCGAGGCATGGTTCTCAACCCACATTGCAATCAACAAACATACAGAATTGGACGCCATATACAAACCCATACAGATCAAAACTGGAAATGACACTACTCACCATAACGGACTGGACAGTATAAATTCCAAGCACAGTAGAATAACATTGCTTCATCGGAGGCTCCACTGATGATGTCACTTGGCATGGTGACGAAACGTGTGAACAAAAACAAGCCAGCTCGGCAAGCAAGTCAACAATCTCAACTTAACCTGAGCTACAAATCTTTGCTAAAACGCTAAACATTTACCAGAAATAAGCCACCAACACCAAGGACTGGAGATAGCTCATTAAGGGGGACATACAGTGTCCTGCAAAACTCAATCCATGTTGAATCCTTTTAAAAAAGCAAAGATCTAGAAACAGGTGACAAGGAATATCAAAGTCCTGGTGCTTCACTCATTGGGAGGTCAGGAACACCAGAAAGCTTGAACTCTACTGAATAAGTTTTCATACAGTTTAAAGGGTATACCAGTGTTTTTGACATGAAAGAAACAAATATAAGAAATGAAATATATCATTCAGAACTCTATGGGCTGGATTTTACACTCCGCTACCTGATGTGACTGAAGGCAGTTGACAGAGCCAGGTAAAATCCAGAGGCTAGCCTTCCTGCTCCCTATCTGTCCTTAGACCTGTTGAGATCCTTAAAATGTTTTCTTTATTCTTTCATGGGAAGTCGGAATCACTTGCAAGACCTACATTTGTTGCCCATTCCTTACTGCCATTGAACTGAGTGCCTTTCTTGGGTACTTCAGAGGGTAGCTAACAGTCAACCACATTGCTATGGGTCCGGAGTCACAGTCATAGAAAAATGCCCTTCAGCCCACCATGGCTATGCCAACCAATGAACACCAAACTACACTAATTCTATTTACCTGCACTTGCCTACAATGTTTAAGTATGTATCCATATGCTTGAATACCTGCCTCCACCACCCTCTCGGGCAGAATGTTCCATATTACTACCAGCCTGGGTGAAATTTTTTTTTCTCCGATCTCCTCTAAACCACTTGTGACTCACCTTTAAACTTAAGGCCTCTGGTCTCAGATACGTCTGCCATAGGAAGAGATTTTCACAATCTATTGTGTCTACATGTCTCTTAATTCCGTGTATCTCATTAAGAAGTGCAACGTGGATCTTGCAGCTACTCCTGGGATTGCAGGCTTAGTTAGAGATTTTATTCTAGTTTTTGAACAGTTAATATAGTTATTATATTTTACTAATAAGATTTTTATTCATTTTGCTATATTAACATTAAAAAAGCCAAAAAAAATTTGCTTTGTTTTTAAACTGACCTTTTTTTTAAAAACAAGCTTTTAAGGGTCTACAGGGAACGACTGAGTTTTTTTAATTCCATATTTCAAAGTTAAAGTCTGTATGTATTTTAGAGGTTTTTTCACACTGCAAAGGTTTTTAAGAGGTTTCTTTTTAATGTTGCAAAGGTTTTTGTTTGAAAAACTGAAGTTTTTTTAAAATAAGGAGTTGTGTTTTTGTTTCAGGGAGTCCTACACATGATCAACTTTGGAGAAGATATTTTTTCTTCGAGGAATTAATTGAAGAGGAGTCATTTTTTATTCAGTTAATTGGCTAAATGGTTGATTTTATTTAAGTTTTATATGTTTGATGTATATATTTTAATTATTTCCATTTTAACATTATTTTCTGTAAGTAATGAAAGTTTATTTTATATATAAGGTGCTATCGAATTTTTTTTAGGCTTAATGTTATTAAGGGCATATATGAAGTACACAAGCAAGATGCCTTGTAGATTTAAAAAAGTTATTACTCAGCAGGATCAAGTCAGCTAGACGGGTAACTGTCAGGAAAGGTAAGAAGGTAGTTCAAAAGTCTCTGGCTATTCCTCTATCAAATAGATATTCAGTTTTTGGAACCGTAAAATGGGATAGTCCCTCTGAAGAAAATGGAAAGGAATGTCAGTTATTGGACACTTGGAATGATTCTTATGTTAGGCAGCTTTTGACAAGACTTAATAGAATTATTGTTACAAGGGACTTTCCTGTTAGTGGCACAGACAGGAGATTCTGCGGCAGTGAGCGTAAATTTAGGACAGTTTGTTGCTTTCCTGGTGCTAGGATTAAGGACATCTCT